AATTTGTAGTCATGAGCTATTTATTTAATTATATTAATACTATAATTGTTTTCAGATAGAATTTGAGGAAATGAGTTTATCCGGTCGTGATTCACAGAATATGATGCATTTTCACACACCAGCTAGTGCAATGAGTATAAGTAGCTATGATATGATCGGAGGTGATCCAGAAAGAACATATAAAATCGTATTCGCTGGAGATGCGGCCGTTGGAAAAACTTGTTTTATACATCGTTTTTGTAAAGGCACCTTCTCAACAAAACTTGGATCTACTTTAGGTGTGAATTAAATATTATTAAAATAATTCAAAAAATCTTTTAATCTAAAACAATAATAACTATCATAATAGTCTAAAAAATAAGTATAGTACCTAATCCATAAATCATAATTAACATATGTTTTCTATGARTCTTATAAGTAGATGTGGATCTTAAAAAGTTCTGCGAAGGCATCTATTTACATAAATAAACAATTTTAATGGGCGATTTTTGATTAAAATTAATAGGTAATTGTTTTCAAAATTTGTTTTACAGGTGTTGATTTTCAAGTTAAAACAATCAGAGTTGATGATCGAAATGTAGCATTACAATTGTGGGATACAGCTGGTAAAATTTAATAAGATACATTCTTTCAATAATGTCAATTTTAGATATTATTGTTTCTCTAAAAATACTAAAGAGATAACACCAACTTCCACATAGGAAAGTTTTTTCACGATATATGAATACGATTGACATTTTTAAATTAGTTCTTTCATAAGTTATAGTTGCTTCCGGTTACTTAACAATATTTTGTCTACTGTGGGTATTAMAATTAAAATTTGTGGAGTTTAATATTACACTAAGACATATATACATTTTTACATTAAATCAAAATTATGAAAGACTATTGAGTTYCTWAATATTATTTCGAATAAAAAGAATTACAAAATTATATTGATTTCATAAATATAACAGTTACGTACCGTGTTWTATACAATTTACAAGATTAATAATTAAGACTGATTACTTTCATAATAAAGTAATTTTAAAACTGTGTAGGTATTTGATTAAYCACTAGAAAATATGTATCCAAGTTACGTAATTATGATTTATGTAACCCACAATATGTTTTGGATGTCAATCTCTGCTGATATGGCATAAAAATATGAAGAATATTAAGTTCTAATTATATAATATTGTGATTATATCGTCCAACGTCCAACATTTTAAGAGTTTTAAGTTCAACCGTCCTAAASTGTTGAATTGTGAGCATTTCGCATTTTATTTAACTTAACAAAATGTCTTGATATATTTTTTTAAATGAATATATACAATATATGTATAATATGCACAAAAATCGAAAAACAGAGAAAATGAAAAAATAATTTAATCTATTACATGAATCGAATTATGTTATTGGAATGAAGTATTTTAGGCTCTAAAGCACACAAAATAAGTGCACTTTTCATCGAAATTTGCGATTTGTAGATATTRTATCATAATAACCTACAACAGTTACAACATGTTTTTAATACTATAGTTAAATTTATTACGATTAGAACAAAATAGACATAAATAGTGTTTAATTCAAAAAATTATATTTACTGAAAGCTGCCAATACTTTAGTTGTAACATGATTCCATTACATATTTTGAATACTTTTATGTTAGTAGGTTTAACTAATTCGTAATTATGATGTAGAAGTATTAATAAATATATTAGGCACATCATTTGAAATTAGAAACTTCTAATTGTTTTTGTAATTTTTGATATATTTTTAAAGATTAATG